TGCTCCCTCTGAACTTTGCTTACAAAGTAAAGGGTACTTCCAAGAGCATGATTCTGCTTCACAATAAGTGTACACCTTATTTTAAAGGAAAAGCATTAATTTTTCCATGCTGCCATAGTAAACGTGGGAACCCTTAAGGAAGCACATATGGAATTCACATTGGTCATCACTGCTTTATACATTGAATAGTAATTTTGGACATTACTCCCAGGCCACTTGCGTGCTATTTCTTTTTTAAAAGCTTGTTTATTTCTGGTGGTTGTTTGTGAATAACCCTAATAATGCCTTGTGGATTTTCTTTTTTGGGGCTGACAGGTATTAATTGGAAGCAATTTGCCTCACCCATTTGGGCTTACTCTTTATGGAACACGGATCTACTGGACTGACTGGCAAGCAAAAAACATCCAGAGTGCTGACAAGAGGACAGGGCTGGATCGTGAAACTCTACAGGACAATCTAGAGAACCTTATGGACATCCATGTCTTTCATCGACATAGGCCTCCAGGTATAGAAGATTACCAGGTCATAATCTCTGATTTATGGATATCCTAGTGTGGTTTATGGAAGTTGCATCCCAAAATATCTGTAGGGTGCCAGTTCATCTGCCCAAGAATAACAATGGCTAGCCAGGTTTCTTCCTCATGCTATTTCTGTTCCTCATCCCAGCCGAAGTCTAAAACTAAATCATAAGTGAATGTGGCCACTTTCTATAAAGTATTACTCTTCCTATTAATGTTGATGCACTGCTCTGTAAAATGTTGTAGAATGGGATTTCTGACCTCTTCCTCGTGATGCATTTGTTTTGCTCTTCTGTCTCTTTCTCTCTATGTCAGTACACACACCGTGCAGTGTTAACAATGGTGGTTGCAGTCATCTTTGCCTCCTGGCTCCTCTTCCTAAAGGTTTCAGCTGTACTTGTCCTACTGGTATCAACCTTCAACCAGATGGCAAAACCTGCTTGCCAGGTAAGTGTCCACCTCATTTGGTTTGGCTCTATAACAATTTGCTCTTCTGAGTCCCATGTTCTTCTTCTGGTACGTTTGCAAGCATAAGGGCTCATGAGGAGTTTTATTTTCACCGTTACAGCACAGGGAATGGATAAAAATATTTTTAATAATCTGAGGATGAAACAGATATTTATGTGTTATAACCTTCCAAGCCTAATTGTGGCAACAATAATGATAGAATTAAATCCCTAAATAAAAACTGGATGAAGTAAAATTAATAGATGACTGTTGTTGTTAACTCTCTTTGAGTTGACCAAAGGATAAGACATCTTCAAGCCCCCCGTCCTCAACCACTCTGTTCAGTTCTTGCACACTCAGGGCTGTGGCCTCTTTGACTGTATCTATCTATCTAGTATGCAGCTTTCCTCTCTTCCTGCTATCCTCCACCCTTCCTAGCAATTATTGTCTTTTCTTGTGAGTCATGTTTTCTCATTATGTGGCCAAAGTACAACAGCTTCAACTTAATCATCTTGGCTTCAAGTTAGAGTTCAGGCTTGATCTGTTCTAGGACACATCTTGGAAACAGAAATTCTATGGTCAGAATAAATTTTGCAAATAATAATAATAATAAATTTATTTTTATCCCGCCCCTCTGCGTAACACAATTGGGGTGGCTTACAACATTGAAATATACATTCCATATCCCACAATCCCACCCACCCTTTAAAATACTATTAAATAGTTGATAGTTTAAAACACACTTAAAATAATAACACAAACAACTGCAGCAGAATCAGGGATAAGCAGGTTGGGCTATCTTTTGGTGGTTGGGATATCTATTCAGGAAAGGCCAAAACATTTATTATCACTGTGTGTTTTGGTTCAGGATAGTTCTGCCACATTTAGAATTTACGATAAAGAAATGAATGGCAGAAAGCAATAAATGATATTAGGGTAGCCAATAGGGAGAGCAAGAAATAATAACCTAAACAAGAAACTAAGAATGTAGTCCAGATTTTTAATAATAATAATAATAATAATAATAATAATAATAATAATAATAATAATAAAAATTTTATTTCTATCCCGCCCCTCTGCGAACGCAAGCAGGGCTGCTTACAACAATTTAAAAAATACAATAGAAATACAATATAAAACCCATGAACCCCTTAAAATAATATTAAAAAATCAAGCTATTAAAATATACTGAAAATACATCACAGAAAAACAAAACAAAACAAAAACAAAAGAAACAATAACAGCAGTCGTGGCAGCAATAACAACAACAATAGCAGGAGAGAGATGGATTGATTCTTGAGGCCGAGATGATTATTCAGGAAAAGCCTGCCAGAAGAGATCCGTCTTAACAGCTTTTTAAAAAACTGGTTAAATTGGTGATATGACGGATCTCATATGGCAGGCCATTCCATAGTCTGGGAGTGTTGCTGAAAAGGTCCTCTGGGTGGTTGCAGACAGCCTAGTTTTTATAGGCTGTAGCAAATTCCTCCCAGAGGACCTTAGTGCGCGGGGAGGATTGTATGGGAGGAGGTGGTCCCGATGATAGGTTATTTCTCTGATATCTTGAGAAGTAGATAAGATGTGATTTTCTGGATGGCTGATCATTTTCGAATAAAAGATTCTGACCTACTGCCACAAAGAAGCGTGAAAGATGTACAGTCTGGATATCAGAGCCTTTAGGCTGTAACTTTTACTTGTGTTCTTTCATCTCATATCCCGTATGGACATGCAGTTATGGCATATGAAAATTACTTTGTGTGCCATCCTTAACTGGAACATCTCTCTGGAGTCTTTAAAAATTTTATAGTGGTTTAAAAGGTTATCTTTCTCTCTTTGTAGCTATTGTTGTTTAGATAGCTGAGAAATGGCATTTATAAAAGTGTGTTTATGAAGCTTTGATTGAATTGCATTGCATACTACTGTTATGTCTTTAATTCTGCAGGAATGACTAGTTTCCTGATCTTTGCCAGAAGGGCAGACATCCGCCTGGTTTCACTTGACATTCCATATTTTGCTGATGTTGTTATCTCTGTCAACGTTACTATGAAAAACACGATTGCCATTGGAGTGGATCCTCAGGAAGGTTTGAAATTTTGTGTAGTTTCACTGCTTTAAGGACTGATCGGTTCAGAGCTACTGCTGACATAGGGAAAGAACTGACATTTCCTTTTTCCTGTTGGTCAGTAAACATTCCTCTGGGCGTTTTTTATTTTGAAATTCAAAAAATGCTCTAAGATTTGTTTAGAGTTTTGCTGAGAATTATCTTTAGCAAAATATCAGAAGTATTCCCATACATGAAGTCCCTTCTGCACTTACTCATACATTTGTCAAAGGAAGCCATGGCTTGTATAAAAGTTATGCCCTAGTGAAGAAGAACACATCACTCACAATTATGTTATGGGCTACATTTATTGTTTGTGGACAATATTTTATATTCAGTGTCAGTAGTCCCTCCCCCTGCAAACCCCATGTGCTGAAATGGCTGGTGGCACTGACATTAAAAAAAAAAAAGGTTTAATAGGAGGAGTCCAATCAAAAATAAGCTTTTTTTTCACCACTTTAGTTCTAGAAAAAGTTTATTTTGCTAGTGATACTCCATTCTGAGTGTCTCTCCACCAAAAACAGATACTGAATCAATAGTTTAAACATTTTCTATGGCACAAGATTATTCCAATAGGAGATGAATTTTTTTTTATTTGGGTGGGAGAATTTAGGATCAATCATATTTGATAAGTGTCTTTATTAGCTTTCTTGACTTCATAAAACTGAGAAGATACAGAAACTGAATGAATCAATAAATGTGATGCTGTATTCTACTATATGTTGTGAATTTGTTGGGTGCCTTCAAGTCATTTTTGACTTAGGGCAACCCGAAGGTGAATCTGTCATGGGGATTTCTTGGCAAGATTTGTTCAGAAGAGGTTTGCCTTTGCCTTCCTCTGAAGCTGAGAAAGTGTTGCTTGCCCAAGATGATCCAATGGGTTTCTTGGCTGAGTGAGGATTCAAATTGTTGTTTTTGTGTGCCTTCAAGTTATTTCCAACTTTGTGGTGACTGTTACTGTGGACGAAGGAGCTGCCTTTGGCCCCTATGAGAGGAGACCAGGAGGCTTTACAAGCAAGATCATGTGAAGGGGATGAGGGAGGAGGCTATTTAAAGGCCAGTCACCCCCTCATGTGCCCCTTTTCTCCTGATCTCTGCATCCCATCCACTTGCCCTCAGTGCAGTGTGAGCACTGCTGGTTGTCTCAGAGCCGAGTAGCAATTTCCCCCCTTTTACTTGTTTTTTTTTTTTAACACTGTAAAAGCACTGTAGCTATTGGGACTTTTACAGTTGACATGTGGTGGCAGTAAATAGGTTTCCATCTGGCAGGTAGTTTGGATCGGTGTACACCTTGGCACCCCGTTGTGATGGAGGGTTAGACACTGAAACTGTCTCCAAGGGACATGGGACTGGGGAGCTTATGAAAGAGCCTGCACTTGGGGCTGATCTGAGGGCTTACACCAGGGGTAGGCAACCTTCCCCCTTTAAGGGCCGAGGGACTTCAGCTCCCAGAATCCCAGGAGCTATTGGCCAACATGGGACTATTGGCCAACATGGCTGAGGCTTCTGGGAGCTGAAGTCCCTTGGCCCTTAAAGGGGAAAGGTTGCCTACCCCTGGCTTACACTATCTTATAGTCATATGGCTGGGGTGGGAGCCCAGGTTAGCTTTGCAAAATGACCATCTGAGATAGCAACCAATCTCTTTGAATTGCGCTTGCGGTCTGGTGTTTCGCCCAAAGGTGGCTGGGGAGGTGTCATAGGTTGACAGCTGTACCTCAGCTAAATTTACACCAGGTTGCTCCCCTCTTTGTTTGCTCAGCCCCAGGCCTCAAACATTGAAATAGGTTCTAGGTCAATAAAATGGCCCCTGTTTAATCCCAAATACTGTGTCTGGTCTCATTATTTCATGGTTGGTCAACAAATGGCGATCCTAAGGTGAACCTATCATGGGGCTGAGAAAGTGTGACTACCCAAGGTCACCTAGCAGATTTCCATGTCTGAGCAGGGAATCAGACCCTGATCTCTAGAGTCCTAGTCCTATGCTAAAACCACTATACCACACTGGCTTTTGGGAATTTAAATGCTGTAAAATAAAGAGGTCCAAAGTACATTGCAGAAATAATCCAGTGTGAGCCTGCTTTAAATGCCCTGGTTCAGGGTTGGGGAATCCTGGGAATTGTAGTTTATTGTGGCACCAGAGCTCTTTGACAGAGAAGGCTAAATCTCTCACAAAACTACAGTTCCCAGAATTTCTTAGCATTGAGCCAGGGCATTTAAAGCGATCTTAAAGTGGATTATTTCTGCAGTGTGTTTTGGACCTGAGATGCTTATTATCTGCAAACAAAATTCTCTAATATTGTCCTATTTCCTCATCAGGAAAGGTCTATTGGTCTGACAGCACACTGAGGAAGATCAGTAGAGCTGCCCTGGATGGTTCCCAGTATGAAGATATTATTACTACAGGTAACAGATGTTTTGCCAGAATAACCGAGCACCCCTCCAGCTGTTTTCAAAGATAGACTGTTTTGAAGTTACAGTTTAATTAGTATAGCTTCCTTGGAATTTACTAAGGGAGTTCCTGGAACCATAATCAGAATACTTGGGATATGCTCTAGATATTTTTGCTACTTTTGAAGATTAAAAATCCTAAACCTGAGTGGGCCACAGGAACATTACAATTGTCTTTTTTTTTTTTTCAAAACTAGGGTTGCAGACCACAGATGGCTTAGCAGTGGATGCTATTGGTCGCAAAGTATATTGGACTGACACGGGAACTAATAGGATTGAAGTTGGTAACCTAGATGGGTCAATGAGAAAAGTTTTGATATGGGAAAACCTGGACAGCCCAAGAGCAATTGCACTTTATCATGAAATGGGGTGAGTGTTGGTAGTGGATATCCTCTTGAGTAAAGGAAAACCAGAAGCTGAGAAGACTTGGAAATAATGTGTCACCTTTTCCATTAACTGCTTATTGTCTTCTTTTTCCTCAGGTTTATGTACTGGACAGATTGGGGTGAGAATGCCAAGTTGGAACGAGCAGGAATGGATGGCTCCAGTCGAATGGTCCTTATCAACAACAACCTTGGATGGCCCAATGGATTAGCCGTGGATAAGGCTGGATCACAGCTACTTTGGGCTGATGCACATACAGAGGTTAGAATTGACTTGAAAGGCTCTGTAGAGGTTCCTAGTTTACAATTTGAAGTTTTGTATCTGAAGGAGATGATGGGTAGGAGTAATTCTTAGGGGAATACAAGTAAATTTACACTTGCATATTCATCACTCAGTGACTACAGCATCTCTTGATGACATGTATGTCTGAAAACACCCATCGTGATAAAGTACCAAGGGCAGATTCCAAGTTGCCTGGCATTATATCGGATACTGTTCCTTAGTGGAGACTGTTTAGATGTTGCATGATTAATCATAGCTAAGGTCATCAGGTGAAGAGATATCAATGTGTATTACGTTGTGAGTTAAACTTGACATTTTAGATGTGGTAACTTGGAGCTAATAGCTTTTGAAATTGTTTTCATCTTCTTTTTCTCTGACAAAAGATATAAAAGATAATTACATTTCTTCCTTAAAGCGTATAGAGGCTGCAGACCTGAATGGTGCAAACCGCCACACCCTCCTTTCTCCAGTGCAGCATCCTTATGGCCTCACTCTGCTGGATTCCTACATTTACTGGACTGATTGGCAAACACGTAGCATTCACAGGGCTGACAAGAATACTGGTGGTAATGTCATCCTGGTCAGAGCAAACCTGCCCGGTCTAATGGACATCCAGGCTGTTGACAGGGGGCGTCCCCTTGGTAAGCTTCCACCTTTTTCTTCAATGCAAAGTTCCAGAATCTTTGGTAGAAATGACTCTTTAGTCACGGGCAGTAGTGGGAGCTTTTTAAATATGATAGGATGTTGAGGGGAATGAGTGTGTGGAGCTCCTTTCTGATTTCAAACTCTATCCCCTGGTGTTGCTGGTAAAAATATAACATAATTAATTTTAAAGCAGTGCTTTAAGTCTTGAAATCTCCTCCTAAAGACCTGATTTTCAAGTCAATGTGTTTGCTCACTTGATTCCATGCCTTTTTGTCAGGGTTAATTCTGTTGCCTAATCATTGCTGTTCAAGGCTTTAAACACCACAACTTTGCAGAAAGCATAGGCAGGCTATATCTGTAAGCCTTCAATATAATTTGAACCAGTTTCCTTTCAATTTTCCTCATACTCATAACTTTATTGTGTTCTTGCTCTGTATCTTGATTTAGTTTCCAGAAGCCTGATGTTGTCTTGCCTGAAGCAATTTTTTTTTCAGTTTAGCAATGCATTTTTGTTGTCATTAAGATAGTCAATGAAAACGCAACATCAATACACTCTTCCAATTGGTCTGTTTATTATCTTTTTGGGAGGTCATACATTCAGAGATGCTATATTGTAACAAGCTTCTCTTTGCTGAAATCTAATTCTCCACTTGTCTGAGGTACTCTGGGGTAGGTAGGTAAGCAGGTCTGATAAAGGCTTACAGATTTCTAGGCTGTTTGCTTGGAAATTATGTTTATGTAATCATGTGGGAAAGTAATGAATTAATCATCTTCCTTTTTTCTAAGGCACTAATAAATGTGGCATGAGGAATGGTGGTTGCTCTCATCTCTGCCTTCCAAATCCTAAAGGCTTCTCCTGTGCTTGCCCTACTGGTATCCAGTTGAAGATTGATGAGAGGACCTGTGATCCCTCTCCAGAAACCTACTTGCTCTTTTCTAGTCGTGGTTCCATCCGGCGGATCTCACTGGATACTAGTGATCACACTGATGTTCATGTCCCTGTCCCAGAACTGAATAATGTTATCTCTCTGGATTATGACAGTGTAGATGGCAAGATTTATTACACGGATGTCTTCTTAGATGTTATTAGGTAGGTTTCCATGAGCCTATTTTTGTGTTAATGAATTACATTAAACCTATATTCTTTTCCTGGCTGCTCTTTAAGTCGTGAGACTTGCCCTAACTCAACCTTTCAGTAGGTGGAGTCTTTTGCTCATTCTCTGTGATCTCTTCTTTCAGGCGAGCAGACCTGAATGGCAGTAATATGGAAACAGTTATTGGCCAAGGGCTGAAGACAACAGATGGTCTGGCTGTGGACTGGGTGGCTAGGAATCTGTACTGGACAGACACAGGTCGTAATACTATAGAAGTTGCAAGACTAGATGGTAGCTGCCGGAAAGTGCTAATTAATAACAGTCTGGATGAACCCCGAGCAATCACTGTCTTTCCCAGAAAGGGGTAAGCCAAGGTTTGCCTATGGTCAGTTGCTTTCGGAGTAAGATGACAAAGTATGAAGGACAGAATGAGGTGGAGGGAGGAGGGGAGGAGTGTTGATTCAAGGTAGATGCCTGCCTTGAAACTGTGGGAACATGTAATCTACCAGCTGGGTAATTCCTTTGTCAGAAGATCTTTTCTTTAGCAAAGACCCACACTAGTTGCTCAGCTGCAGCAAGTCAGTTGTCTGAAGAAGGCTCTCCTGCCTGTGGCACTGGTAAATCAAGAGCAAATAAGACTACAGTCTGGCTCTTTGAACCCAAGTCAGGCTAGTCATCCTAATGTAATGTGTAATATCAAGTTGCTGAAGGAGGCTTTTTCTGAAGAGGCAGACAGGATCTCTGTAGCCTGCAGATCTACTAAGTAGCAAGGAGCTTCTGGCACTTAACAGACTCCACTAATTCCACATGAAAGAGTGGAAGAAAAGTTTTGGATGGACAGACTTCTCCCTCTGTCTCCAAAAATAACTCTGAAAAATCATTCAAGAAGGAGAAATTATCTAAATTTGCTTTCTTTTACTCCAGATACCTCTTCTGGACAGATTGGGGACATGTTGCTAAAATTGAACGTGCAAACCTAGATGGTTCTGACCGCAAGATACTAATCAACACTGATTTAGGCTGGCCCAATGGGCTAACCTTGGATTATGACACCAGAAGGTCAGTATAACATGACATTCCAAAATTACTTGCTATATAACTGACATTCTTAGTATTCAAAAGTCTTTTCTCTGTTTCTAAAGCAGCCTGGAGCTTCTGCACTAGACAGCTATGGGGAGACAGGAATGTTTGTTTCTGTGGTTTGTGAGGTTACACAGATTGGTCATTTCACTTTCATCCTTTCTGTTCTTGTAGGATTTACTGGGTAGATGCTCACCTAGACCGCATAGAGAGTGCTGATCTCAATGGGAAACTGCGTCAGGTGCTGGTCAGCCAAGTGTCACACCCCTTCGCCTTGACACAGGTACAAAGAAAGGTGGTGATGTATTCTGCAGTGTCACTTGTATTACAAATATCCTGAAGGGAATAATATAATCCATCACCATCATTTATTTCACTCCTGTTTCCTAGTTTGGAGACTCAAGCCAATTTAGAAAAATTAAAACAAATACAGTAAAAAATACTTGTAAAGACATAAATAAAAACATACAGAATGTTGTTATTTACATTCATTGTAACTATCCATAGATTTAAAAACATTTAAATGAGTATGCTTTGATTTATGCATGCTTGGAAAGGTTCTTATTTTTTATTCATGTTGCATTATGGAAAATAAAATGTGCTTTGCTTGGACTTCTAAGAACAAGCAACTGTATCATCTATATATTTTATCAGATTTTCTTAATCCTAAGACTATTTTTATATTCTTTCCGAGTAGCAGGACAGGTGGCTGTACTGGACAGACTGGCAGACTAAGTCTATCCAGCGCGTGGACAAATATTCTGGTCGGAATAAGGAGACCGTTTTAGCCAACGTTGAAGGGCTTATGGATATCATTGTGGTTTCTCCTCAAAGACAGACAGGTAAATGCTACATTCTGGGTTTCATCATTGCATACTCAGAATTAAAGAGGGAGCAGTAGTAAAACATACTCTAAATCAGTCTTCCCAAACCTTTTGCCCTCTGGATGTGTTGCTATACAACTCTCATCACCCTAGAGCAGAAGAAATTGGGAAGGATGATGTAGTGTATACTGTTCATGCACCTTCTTTTACTACAGGTTTATGGTCTGTTCTAGGTGCTATTGTCTGCTC